TCCTGAGACGGGCAACGAATTTAGAACAAATTGAAAGCATTCTCCAGACAGGTAGTGACGACTTTATAGGTAATATCAACAAGTGTGAAGATAACACAAGCCTAGGCAGTAAGAAGCAAAAACTGCAAACGTGGTTTCTGGGTTGAGCTTTTTGCAGAGATTGGGATGGAACCTGATGCCACCTGCCGGGGAGCAGCGTCTCCTGCTATCCTTGGGTGGTGGTGTAGGGGTGGGTGGCGGTGCGAGGGATTGGGAACAGCGGCCAGGAGCAGAGCCTGGGCTCTGGAGGGACTCCCGGTCCCTCTTCTTTCTCCTCCCCGACCCTGGCCCTGCTCCCCTGGGGTCCTGCCACAATGGGGACTTGGGGGTCTCTGTCCTCGCAGTTGCAGGTGTTATCTTGCACTGGCCATGGTTTAACATTTGGAATTCAGAGTTTGCTGGCAGTTGTTACAGTTCCTTAATTTCTTCATTGGGGGTGAACCCTGGTGCACTGCCATTGGGTCTGATTAATGAGCTGGTCCTCACAGTACCTTTCCGTCTTAGTGCTTCAAGGAAAAGTTCATGTTGTCAAAGCTGGCCTTTGTTGCACCGACTGACTCGGCCCTTGTGAGCCCTGTGCCCGTAGCCTGGGTCATCATCAGAGAATTTGTGTGTTTTATTGTTATTTTGGTTTTTTGGGTGGATTAAAGAGTTCAACAAGGAATTTATCCACTTCTTTTTCAAAACATGAACAAATTTCTTGCTGTACTCCAGTCATTAGGCAAGCTGTAAGGCATGCTTTGTTCGCTTTACAATTGTGTGACGGTTCCAAGTTTTTCTGGAACATTAAGCCATGTCTTTATTTTGCTTAGTTTCCCTCATTTCATTTTTGCTTACTTGTCTGTTTTTATTGTGAAAAATATGGAAAAGTAGAAAGAATAGTACAACTAATGCCCATATACCTTTCACCCAGATTCACTAGTTCTAACATTTTTGCCATTTTGCTTAGTGTACAGTTATGCATGTGTGTGTATATATATATATATTTTGGGACAGAGTCTCACTCTGTTGCCCAGGCTGGGGTACAGTGGCGTGATCTCAGCTCACTGCAACCTCCACTTCCCAAGTTCAAGTGAGTCTTCTGCTTCAGCCTCCTGAGTAGCTGGGACTACAGGTGTGTGCCACCATACCCGGCTTCTTATGTGTATTTTTGAGACAGGGCTTTGCTCTGTCACTCAGCCTGGAGTGCAGTGGTATGATTATAGCTCACTGCAGTCTTGAACTCCTGGGCTCAAGTGATCCTCCCGTCTCAGCCTCTTGACTGGCTGGGACTACAGGCATGTGTGACCATGCCAAGCAATTTTTTTTTTTTTTTTGTAGAGAGGGCATCTCACTTTGTTGCCTAGGCTGGTTTGAACTCCTGGGCTTAAGTGATCCTCAAAGGATCACTTTCACCTCACACTCCCAAAGTGCTGGGATTACAGGCATAAGCCACCATACCCAGCATCTAGTTACATATTTTAATGAACTGTTTCAAAGTATGTTAAAAAACATCCTAGCACTTTATCTCTACATAGTTCGACATGCAGCTTTATAAAAAGTACATTTTCCTATATAGCCAGAAAAGTATTGTCTAACTGAACTCAGTTATTGCTTCCTAATAGCAGCTAAAACCCAAGCCATATTCTGATTGTCCCAGAAATATTTTTCTATTCTTTTTCTTTTTTTTTTTTAACACTGGCTATTTGATCACATTTAACTTAGTGTAACTAAATTTTTTACAGAACACTGGCAGAATGATGGACCTCTTTCAATTGTATGTGTGGGCCGTACATCTGCTTAGTTTCAGTTAATAGTGACTGATAGGGACCGGCCCCTCCCAGCCGGGCACAGTGCTCCTGGCTTTATGCACAAGATCTCATTTGACTCAGGATGGCTGCGTGAGGTGGGGCAAACTGTGACTCAGGAAGGCTGAGGGACCTGACCAAAGCATAGCCCGTGGAGAGAGAAAGCGCCAGTGTTCCACCCTAGGGCATCTTGAGCCAGGGCTCACATTCTCACCTACAAGGTTCATTGGTTACCAGGTAGCTCCAGACAACAGATTGTGTTTATGCTGTGACTCTTTTTAAAATTTTTATTTTGCCAATTCATAGTCATTTTTATTTTATTTCTTTTTTGAGATGGAGTCTCACTCTGTTGCAAGGTTGGAATGCAGTGGCGCAATCTTGGCTCACTGCAACCTCCGCCTCCCAGGTTCAAGGGATTGTCATGTCTCAGTCTCCTGAGTAGCTGGGATTGCAGGTGTGTGCCACTAGATCCAGCTAATTTTTGTGTTTTCAGTAGAGATGGGATTTCACCATGTTGGCCAGGCTGGTCTCGAACTCCTGACCTCAGGTGATCCACCTGTCTGGGCCTCCCAAAGTGCTGAGGTTACAGGTGTGAGCCACCGCTCCTGGCCATCATTTTCTTTTTATAAGTGCATTATTTATTTGTTTAAAACTATTGTTTGACAAATTGGCTAGTCTCTTCTCCGTGATTAAGAATTGATTCTACAGTGTGGTATCATTAGTGAGCAGCGTATAGTCTGTTTTCATGTTCTTTCTCTCGGTGTGAACTTGGGGTTTAGTAAAGCTTACATAAGAATACCACTAGAACTTTGAAAAGGTAAAATTGTGAAAGTGTCATTGGTCTCTCAATTACAGAATGAAGATAATGCATTTATAATTTGCTTATTGTGATGGTGGGTATGGTAGAATATGGAAAATATTTGACACTTTGAAATCAAGTACACAACTTAAAATTATTAGAGTGTTTTCTTCTGAAGTTGATCATCTATAACTGCCAAGCTTATGTTTATTTTTAGATTTTTTTTTGTTAAGAACTTAATATTTCATGTTTATTCTCTGGTTAGCCTGTATAAAATATAAATAACTATTTGAACTGGACTAAGTCAGCATCATTTTCACAGATTAATAAAAATGTCTTTGCAAAATTATATGTCATCTATTTTATGTAGTTCTATTACATTATAAATAAAACAGTTATATGGTAGTTAATGTCAGGTTGATTCTGATGTAAGCTGTTTTGAATAGTTTTAAGAATTATTTGATTGGGTTTCAGGAAAGGGAACATTTTTCCAATTTTATTTTTGTCTCCCAGTTTCTTTTTGGAGTGGTAGATCCTTTGACTGTGGGCTAGTTTTTCAGCTCTGGGTCCTGCTGTAATGTAGAACCTATTCTTCTAGTCCCTCATCTGGGCCCCCTGTCTTTTTTTTTTTTTTTTTTTTTTTTTTGAGACAGAGTCCGGCTCTGTCATCGGGCTGGAGTGCAGTGGTGCCATCTCGGCTCACTGCAACCCCTGCTTCCCGGGTCCAAGAGATTCTCCTGCCTCAGCCTCCCAAGTAGCTGGAACTACAGGGGCATGCCACCACACCTGGCTAATTTTTGTATTTTTAGTAGAGATGGGATTTCACCATGTTGGCCAGGATGGTCTCGCTCTCTTGACCTCGTGATCCGCCCGCCTCAGCCTCCCAAAGTGATGGGATTACAGGTGTGAGCCACCATACCTGCCTCCTACCCTTTTTCTTTTTCTTTTTCTTTTTCTTTTTTTTTTTTTTTTCCAGACAGGATCTCACTCTTAAACGCAGGCTGGAGAGCAGTGGCACAATCATGGCTCACTGCAGCCTCGACCTCCTGGGCTCACGCGATTCTCCTGCCTCAGCCTCCTGGGTAGCTGGGACTACAGGCACCTGCCACCACGCCTAGCTAATTTTTTTTTTTTTTTTGAGACGGAGTCTCGCTCTGTCACCCAGGCTGGAGTGCAGTGGCCGGATCTCAGCTCACAGCAAGCTCCGCCTCCCGGGTTCACGCCATTCTCCTGCCTTAGCCTCCCGAGTAGCTGCGACTACAGACGCCCGCCACCTCGCCCGGCTAGTTTTTTTTTGTATTTTTTAGTAGAGACGGGGTTTCACCGTGTTAGCCAGGATGGTCTCGATCTCCTGACCTCGTGATCCACCCGTCTCGGCCTCCCAAAGTGCTGGGATTACAGGCTTGAGCCACCGCGCCCGGCCACGCCTAGCTAATTTTTGTAGAGATGAGGTTTCGTCAGGTTGCCCAGGCTCGTGCCTGCCTTGGCCTCCCAAAGTGTTGGGACTACAGGCATGAGCCACTGCGCTTGGCCTCTTTTTTTTTTTTTTTTTCAAGATAGGGTCTTACTCTTCTCCCTGGACTGGAGTACAGTGTTGTGATCATAGCTTACTGCAGCCTCGAATTCCTGGACTCAAGTGATCCTCCCATCTCAGCCTCCTGCGTAGCTAACTACAGGTGTGTGTAACCATGCCTGGATAGTTTTTTAAATTTTATATTTTTTGTGGAGACGAGGTCTCCCTATGTTACCTAGGTTGTCTTTACTCCTGGGCTTAAGTGATCCTCCCACCTAGGCCTCCCAGATTGCGGGGATTATAGGTGTAAGCCACTGTGCCCAGCCTATTTTTGTTTTTCACAGCAAAAATATTTTCTCAGGTGTTTGGTATTTTTTCTATCTTCATAAACTTTGGAACATCAGTCAGTAATTAGTCGACAAGTATGTGAAAGTTTTCAGTATGGCCAGGACTGTGCACTGTGTTCAAAATATTTTTTTCTTTTCTTCCTGCGTTTCTGAAACAGCCGCCTACTTGCAGCCTCTCACCTGCTGGGTCTGGCTGTAGTGGGGAGGTGAGTGGAAACTGGCAATGTCAGGTAGTTCCAGAAATGGGGGGCGAGGGCAGTCTGCCCCTCCTGGCCTGAATAGACCCAGGATCCACTCACAGTCTGGGGTGTCCTTTCCCTTTCACCCCAGAGCCGCCCATGGGGGAGGAACATTCTAGATGCATGTTTTCTAAAAGCTGCCTTTAGTCAGTCCTTTGTAAACTTGCAGTGTGGGAAAACATAGATAAGTGAGGGTGCTCTATGTTAACGAAGCTGCTGATCACCGGCCCTTTGGTGTACAGTCTTAATGACTAATTTTAAACTGTTTTATGTCAGGAACAAAAGAAGCTAATATTAAGTCAACTAGTATTTCAGATGATAATTCAGCTTGTCTGCGGTGTGAGAATACTGAGCCCGACCCCGCAGAGAAGCAGAAAGGTAAGAACGGTTCCGTTTCGCCCTTTCCTGGCGAGAGCAGAGTGAGCCCTCCAGAACCTTCTTCCCAAAGGGCCGCAACCCAGAGCCCAAGGTTTTCCCCTTGGGTCTGAACGTGGCAAGTGATTCACTTCTGCCTTTTTGCATAAACTAGAATCGAACATGGTGGTTTCTTGATAGCATTGGACCCACTCGTGTGCTCCCCCAATATTAGTGAGAGGAGGTGACATGGTTCATCACTTGGGGGGTATCATGAGTGGTCCCTGGAAAGTTTCGGGGTCACTACTTGGAGAGCCCCACCGGCCAAGAGGTGTACCCCCCCAGACTTCATGGTCACAGTGCTGTGGCCACCGTGATTTTTCCATCACTTTCTTTCAGTGTTGAATTATACCTCAGTGAGACTTTACTTTCACCATAAATTTTCTCAGCCTTAAAAAAAAACTTTGGTAAACTAGCCATTCAGTGTTTGTGTTTTGAGGCCTTGGAGTTCCTAACAGGCCTGCAAGAGTGTCAGTGCCCAGGTAACCAAGGCTTGTGCCGGCGCCAGCAGCAGGGTGGGGTGTGGCCAGACGAGGGATGATATTTGTTGATTCGTCAAACAGAAAATTATCTGTTGAAGGCCTACTACATGTCAGCTCTGAGCCTGGGAGTGCATGAGCCAGTGAAGTCAGGCTGGCCTTCTGCCTTCCTGGTGCAGATGAGGCTCGAAGATCAACCAAAACCATTTGATGAAGTAGCATTCTGGGACGGGGGGGCCTTGGTTCGTGAGGGTGGCCCAGAGAGCCTGCAGGGCAGAAGGGACTGCATAAACCAAGATCCCAGCTGGGATGCGACTGCAGCAGGGCTGGCTCAGCCCAGAGGAAGTGCCAGAGCCACGTCCCTGTGCCAGCTTATGGAGTTTAACCTTTATTGGAAGAGCAGCGGGAGGCTAATTATATCTTTAGGAGGAACAGTATAATGATATTTAGATTTTAAAGACTGGCCATGTTAATTAGGGAGGGTTAAAGATTGTCCAGAGAAGACAGAGAGACCTGGACTGTGGAGGAGCCCTGGGAAGGGAGAAGTGGTGGGATTCCAGGGCTGCTGGCATGTGATGGGGGAGCCGGACTGGAGTGTAGGGGGAGGGCCCAGGTTAGAGAGGAGCTGTGAGAGTTCCTGGCGCCGGGTGATGGCGGGAGCCTGGGTGGGGACTAGGTCACCTGGGACGAGATTGTGAGGGCAGGAGCTGGCAGAGTGCTGGCACTGTAGAAGCAAAAGCCTCGGGGAGGATGGTGTGGGCCATGTGGCAGGTGCCTTGGGTTCTGGGTGACGGGGACTGGAAGTATCCATTGAAAGGTAGAGAGTTCACTGTGCTGACTTTCCTTCGGGGTATCGGCCTTGTGGCTGAATAACCACACCTCTCAGGAACCTTTCTGAGTGCTGTGTTAACCCAGGGCCTGTCCTGAACACCCTGGTGTTTTGAAGAAAGAGCCGGGGGTTTGAAACTGTGTCTGCTGCCTGCCCCCAGGTTGCACGAGGACTCTTAGTGCTGGTTTCTGCTAAGCACACGCTCCAGGCCGCACAGCCATGAGGAGAAGATCTTCTGTCACCTGCTCTTGGTCCCCAGCAGTCCCATCCCAGGGTTGAGCTGCGTCCTCCACCCGCATTGGGTGCAGCACCCAAAGTGCTGGGGTCTCTGAAACTGCTTCTAGTGGCACTATCTGAACCACATTCTCCAGGCCCCTGCTAACCACTGTGCCCTGCAGTCCCCTAGGCCCTGGCGGGTGCCAGGCTGCCCCTGTGCTGTGGCACTTTGTGGGGTGTGACCTCTGGAGGCTCCCAGGCCCTTATTAATAGGGTCCTCTAGTGCCTCCTGGTTCCCCTTGATCCACAAGCTCAGTCCCCTCTCTCCCTGCCCGAGCCACCCTCTTAGGGCAGCATTTATGAGCTCGTGACTGTTACGCTCACAGAAAGTCCTCCTGTGAATAAACGAGCTGGAGGTGTCTGTGCAGCGCTCCTCACTCTGCGCTGTGTGGACCCTCAGAGTAACCCAGGCTGATGTCTCGAGGCTGTATGAACTGTTCCTGTCTGGGGTGGGGCCATGCTAAACAAGTGGCTGCATCAGGCCCTGCTGCCTCCTCTCTGCCCATAGAGTGTCCTGAGTTGTCATGTGAAGCCATGCGCTTTCCGCTCCTCTGCAAATGCGTTTGTGCATCTTAAGAGTGTGAAACAGAGATTTCTCACCTGTGGTTTTGAATCCACCCCACCCCTGTGGTGCCACTGCTCATTTACTTTGACTGTTTAGGTCACATTTGTCCCCAAGACACAGCACTTGAAGAAAAAGGATCCTGGGTGAAGGTGCAGAGGTGGCCCTGTGTTGAGCTGGAAGAGTTTCTTCTGCTTTCAGGAGCTGATGGAAAAATACTTACCAATCATGTCTATAAGATGGGCTGTTGTTGGCTGTCTCCCAGTCTGTGGAACGGCCTGGGATTTGGTTGGCCAGGTTCAGGCTGTTGCGTGGTTCCCTCACATTTGGATGTGCTTTTTCTGTGGCTCTGGCTTTGTTGATTCTTGTCTCATGAACTTGTTTACTTCCTCTCTCCAGTGTGCTTTCTCCGCATCCCTGTGTCCTGTTTCTATTTAGTACCATTTTATGATGCACAGTTTGTTTGTTCTTTGTTTTTCTATTTTTGAAAATAAAACAAAATGGCAATAGGGACATTAGAAAAGCAGCTATGAGGAAATGATCTTTTTTTCTTAACAGACATCCAAAATTATGTACAATGTGTTTTTTCTCTGATTCTGTTCTCATCATTTACTATATTGAGGTTGACTTACACAAAAACTAATTTTCTGATGTGCTTTTTTTTTAGGTGACTCCGCCAGTGATGCAGGTGAGGAATGGCCTTAGATATCTATGTGTCATATCAATTGTATGCATGTGTGTGAATGTAAATGTGGACTCTCAGATTCATGCTTTATAAAGTGCAGTAGTGAAAGTAACTTATTTTATGGAAAAAGATCTTAACTACCCTTATTTATTTATTTATTTATTGAGATGCAGTTTCACTCTCGTTGCCCAGGCTGGGGTGCAATGGTGCAATCTTGGCTCACTGCAACCTCCGCCTCCCGGGTTCAAGCGATTCTCCTGCCTCAGCCTCCCAAGTAGCTGGGATTACAGGCATGCACCACCATGCCTGGCTAATTGTGTATTTTTAGTAGAGATGGAGTTTCTCCATCTTGGTCAGATTGGTCTGGAACTCCTGACCTCAGGTGATCCGCCCACCTCGGCCTCCCAAAGTGCTGGGATTACAGGCGTGAGCCGCCATGCCCGGCGAACTACCCTAATTTAATTTGAGATTTAATTTATATCTTTTAAATTTGAAAAGAATACATTTCAGATTTTTTTTCCCAGAATATAAAGTATATTTCTAATATTCAAATTCTGACTATTTTCTGAAGAGTTAATTCCTTTTACTTTAAATAGTGGAGTAAACTTGTCTTAATAGTTTGGGCCTTGTTATTTACTGATTAATTCTTTTCATCAAAATGAAGAAAACTTTGTTCAGATTATAAACATAATATGGTACATACCAATGTAGAAAAATTTAAAAATACCAAAAAAAGAACAAAAATTAAAAGCACTGGTAATTCTACTGCTTATAACATAAACGAATATTCTTCTAGAACCCTGTATATATATGCATATGCATATAATTGTTAGATATATTACTGTCCTGGATCGTTACACAAAAAGGGGCTAGCATGTGACTGTGCCATAATTTACTTGGTGACTGCCTGTCAGTATCATCAGTGGTGATGGGTGAGCATCGTGACATGTGTCCATTTCTCCTCTTGGGCTGTATTTCCTGTAAGCACTGAGTTGATCGGCCTGCCTTTTGAATTTTATTTCTGAAGTAGTTGAACCAGTTTGTATTCCCTGGGTTGGAGTGTGCCCGTTTTCCCAAATCTTCACCAAGTTTAGATATCAGACATTGCTTTTCTCTTCATCAACATGATTGATGGAAAAATTGCTCATTTGTATTTGCAATTACAAATGTATTTGATTGCAAATAACTGCAAATACAAATGCAAATAGTATTTTCAAATAGTTATCGGTGTGTTTTTTCCTTCGTGAATTGCTAATTGATTGTCATTTGTTTAGAAGGAGACGTTGGACCTGCTGGCCAAGATAAGTCTGACGTGCCAGAGACTCCAGAAATTCCTAATGAGCTTTCATCCCACATCAGGTCTGTGTGCTTTGAATCCCTTTCCCTCAGCAGAGTGATCACACCTAGGACGCTGCTGTGCTTCTCTTTCTGCTTGTTGCTGTTCATTTAGTGCTTGAGCTAACTTATGAGGAATTACTTGTACAAAAAATACAAGCATATCAGTTTTCTGTACCGGAGTCATATCACTATATGCAGAATATTTTGGAGACTTAGAGGAATTCAAAATTATAGCTGAATTGTGTGATGTTTTGATTAATGATAGTTGTTGGTATTTTGAAATTACTGCAAATACAAGTTGAAAGACGGACACTTTCTGGATGGTTGGGTTCCCGGGACGTTCCTGCTCTTCTGCAGAGTAGTGCGTCCTAACTAGCACATTGATTATGGCCTGGAGATGAGTGTTAGCATTCACCTGGGATTTCTTTTTCCACTTGGAAATGTGTAAGCCTTTCATACTCCTTTTTTGGTTTTCCAATATTTGGGTTTAGAAGAATTCCTCGGCCTGGGAGTGCAAGACCAGCCCCTCCCCGGGTCAAACGGCAAGACAGTGCAGAGGCGTTACCAACAGATAGGTAAGACTGGCTCAGCAGGGTGGTTCTCCAGTGGGCACAGTGCCTCCGATGAGAGAGAGGGGAGGGATGCAGCACATGGTGCTGGAAACATGCTATTGAGGAACAAAAAATGAGGGTAGGCCCTCGCCTCACACCATAGGCCAACAGACATGTCAGATGGATGAAAGAGAAAAACCATGCATACATGTACAATTAAATCTTCACATCTATGGGAAAATGTTGGACTGCATTTCTCTGACCCCTAGATTGAAGACTTTCTAAGCATGAAAACAGTAGAGGAATTAGGAAAAAAATAGGGGAAAAATTAGGGGCTTAATTGCACAAAAATTAAAAATAGAAGGTGATCAAAATGTTATAAGCAGGCTGGGCCTGGTGACTCACACCTATAATCCCAACATTTTGGGAATCCAAGGCAGGCGGATCGCTTGAGGTCAGGAGTTTGAGACCAGCCTGGCCAATGTGGTGAAACCCCTGTCTCTACTAAAAATACAAAGGTTAGCCGGGCGTTGTGGGGTGTGCCTGTAGTCCCAGCTACTCAGGAGGCTGAGGCAGGAGAATCGCTTGAACCCGGGAGGTGGAGGTTACAATGAGCTGAGATTGCACTGCTGTACTCCAACCTGGGCGACAGAGTGAGACTATCTCAAAAAAAGAAGTCGTAAGCAATATAAAGACAAACAACAGACAGGATGGACCAGAGTGGGTTTCAGATCAAATAAGAGGCAGGAATTGGAGGCAGGAGGAGTAGATGTGTTTTTCTAGGAGTTTTGCCACAAAGAGAAGTGAAGGAATAAGACTAGAAAGTGGGAAAGGTGGTGTCAAGGGGAGTTACGATTTTTCTGATGATGGGAATGATCCAGTGGAGAGGGGAAATTGATGATGTAGGCGACGTGAGACAGGGATTTGGTGGAGCAGAGTCCCAGCGTGGGTGTAGGAACTGGCATGGAGGTGGAGTCGGCACATGGTGTGGTGCAGATTCTTAAGGTGATTTTCTGGTACTTATTTTTCTCATGAGCTGTAAGAGGGCCTGGGGGAAGAAGAATGTCAGAGGAAAGAGGGGCTGGGTGAAGTCGCTGTGCACGAGAGTGGGCTAGTGAAGAGATGGGAGCAGAGGTTTTCCTCTAGGTTGTCCCCTTTGGGGACATTGGGCCATGATTTGGAGACATTTTCTGGTGTTCTGACGAGGGGGAGGGGTTAGGGCAGGGCTGTTGCTGAACCTCCTGCAATGCACAGGACAGTCTCCACCACAAAGGAGGGTGGGCTGCCTGTCCATGGTGCCTGGGCAGAGGCCGTGGCTGACAGCTGACTTCGGGGCAGCATCTGGCAGACTTGGGCATAAAGAGACAGGAGATGGTGTGGTGGAGCCTGTTCTGCAGCCGCAGTTGGCTACACCTGCAGGCATGGATGCACAGGTTGGATTAAACAGGGCTCAGCTGTGCCAAGCAAGTGCCCCAGAGAGAGGAGGGAAGGAGTTGGAGTATGTGGAAGCGCCATGGTCATGACCAATGTGGGATTTATGCCTGTGAATGAGGGAAGAGCCCTCGGGGTGAAGGTCAGGAGGAGGCAGTAGGATTGAGAGGCTGAAGGTGCTGGACGGGTGGAAGGATTGTTGGAGTCAGGTCCTAGGGCCATGAGCTAGGAAGATGGGTGCTGGTAAAGGCGTGGGGCACTGGATTGGAGATTGGGGCTTGCTGTTAGTGGTCGTGACGGGGTGACCCTGGGAGTGGGTGTCGAGTGTGGGAGGTGGGATCATCCCAGGAGGGTTCAGGGACCCAAGGCCAGGATCTGGGAAGGATCATTTCTCAATAGTTGAAATCACAAGTTAAGACAGGAGCAGTGTTGGCGAGAGTGGCAGGTCCAGGAGGACCGGGTGGGACCAGGGGTTGGCAGCTGATGGCAGCAATGATGGGGTCGAGGGTGACAAGATTTAAAGTTGCCAGTTTTTAGGGAGAATGATCTGGAAGCCACAGCAAGCAAAAGGAAATTACTGACCTTCCCTCTGGGCCTGTGACAAGAGGCCTGTGGGAGGAGCAGCAGCTGCAGCTGAGGGCTGTGGGGAAGCCGTGTCCTGGAGAGCAAGGCGGGACAGAGAGCAGCTGCCCATGAGGGCAGGCACGGGGGCGCAGGTGTCGGGGGGGGGTGCCACGTGGGCCACAGTGAGGGTATGCTGGGAGCACAGGAGATGAGGGACGGGAGCCCAGGCTTCTTGTGGTACTGACAGAGCAGCGGGTGCGAAGTGAGGTTGGTCCTGGCGGAGCCACACAGATGGTTGTTGAGCATCTCGAGGACCCAGGTGAGGAAGTCGAGCATACTTGAGGCAATGGGTGTTATTTTAAGAACTCGTTCCCAAGTGTCTACATTCCCTCTGGACCTTGTGCGTGGCGCTGAAGCAAGGGAGGGTTTTTGGGGGTGTGTGTGTGTGTGTGTATGCGTGTGTGTGTATGCGTGTGTGTATGCGTGTGTGTGTGTGTATGCGTGTGTGTATGTGTGTGTGTGTGTGTATGCGCGTGTTTGTGTGTGTGCGTGTGTGTATGCGTGTGTGTATGTGTGCATGTGTATGCGTGCGTGTTTGTGTATGCGTGTGTGCGTGTGTGTGTGCGTGTGTGTATGTGTGTATGCGTGTGTGTATGCGTGTGTGTATGCGTGTGTGTATGCGTGCATGTGTCTGTGCGTGTGTGTGTATGCGTGCGTGTGTATGCGTGTGTGTGTGCGTGTATGCGTGTGTGTGTATGCGTGTGTGTGTATGCGTGTGTGTGTGTATGCATGTGTGTGTGTATGCGTGTGCAGACATGCAGCACTGTGATAACGCAGCAGGGGAGTTAGGTGATTGCTTAAAGTACGAGTGTATATGGAAGAAACAAAGGCAGGAGGGGCCATCGAGGAGCCTGTAGAGTGTTTGGGTCTGGGGCTCACATTTGTACAGAGTGAGCTGACACTGGCCTGAGTGAGGAGTGAGGCCGCTCTAGGTGGGGCGGTTCTAGTGGGTGGCCCTGGAGAGCACGAGAGAGCCCTTGGGTGAAGGATGTCACCAAGGAGGACAAGGTGTGGGGCTGGAGGGCCAGGCTGTTGGACTTGCCCGGAATGATGATGGGACCTGGGTGGAGAGAGCAGTGTGTACGTGGTGCTGGGTGGGATATAGGGCAGCCACCGTGACTAGGAGTTGAATGAGGGGCCTCCAGCTGGGTGTGTGAAGAGAGGTCTGGAGTCACCCCTGGTCAGTGGGACCCCAGTGTGGCCCCTGCCCTGAGGTTTGTGACCCAGGGCAATAAGTGCCTCCAGGTAGAAAGCAGCAGGTGAAGGGCTCGTGTCACTGAGAGCGTGTTCAGGGGAGAGGCGGAGGCCCTGAGGGTCTTTGTCCAGTAGAGGGCATGGTGAGGCTGTGGGGGGTGGGAGGCCAGGTGTGGACCAGGAGGCCTGGGCAGTACAGGGATGTGGGGAAGCTGGGTGGGGAGGGAGAGCAAGGCTCACAGGGACTCAGGCCTGGAGGGGCAGCACAGGGATGTGGGGAAACTGGGTGGGGAGGGAGGGCAAGGCTCACAGGGACTCAGGCCTGGAGGGCTTGCAGAGGACACTGCAGACAGTCCGTCTTAGCTTCAGTGGGTAGCTTGAGATGCTGTTCTAGAGATGGTTGGTGATTAGATTCCTCTCTGCTGACCTGTGACACAGTTTCAGATGCCTAGGATTGATGAAAACGTGTGACTGATAGAGCATTTCTAATTTAATCTAATTTCTTTTTATTTAGATCAGGGAGTGGTAAAACTGTCTCAAATGTGATTGTAGAGTCGCACAATTCTGACAATGAAGAGGATGATCAATTTGTGGTGGAAGCTGCCCCTCAGCTCTCTGAAATGTCAGAAATTGAAATGGTTAGTTAACCGAAATGTGGTGTTTTTTAAATAACAATGTTTTACCTATTGAGATTAATATTCTAGCTTTTAGATTTATGAGGACAAAAATGTCATATAATTTTTCAGCTAGTTTTTTACCTTTGTTAATTTTGTTGTTCCTTTTTTGAGATCCACAGAAGCATGATTTTTAGAGTTCAGCAAGCCTGAATCTTCTTTTTTCCCCTTCCTTTCCTGCTCAGGTAACAGCAGTGGAACTAGAAGAAGAGGAGAAGCATGGTGAGTCCTGGACATGAGTGTGCATGCGTGTCCGTGTGTGTGCTCATGCACTTTCTCCACGTGTTCCTGGAAAGGATCCAGTGCAAGGGACTGTTGTGTGCCAGGTTCTGGTCTGGGTCACACTGGCGGGGTCACACTGGCGGTACATAGGACCCTGCGGGCATGGATTCCTCTAAGGCGATGGCTGCTGCTCCCAATCCTTAAAGGAGAGGGCGGGCACTGTTGGAAGCTGGAAACTCACTGGCAACTGTGCTACAGATGACGTCTTGTCTCATCCGTTAGATTAGATTGTGGAAGTAGATGATCTCTGAGGCCCTTTGCAAGTCTAGTTCTGGAATATTATTATTGGTTTTCTAGCTGGACAACTCAGTAGTGCAAACCCTGCTCCCCACACCAGGGTTTGAGTGTCCTGGAGCACAGTTTCTGCAGAAGAGGCAGGCTGAGTGCTTTCCTTTATAGATGTGTTCTCATAATATGACTTTGTTTCCTGGCACCCATCACAGGTGACATATGAGGGCTTGTTGGTTTTGGGTTTTTTTTTGTTTTGGTATCTATATGAAGCCACAATTTTTTATTTTTTTGGGGGGCAGAGTCTCGCTCTCACCCAGGCTGGAGTTCAGTGGTGCGATCTCAGCTCACTGCAACCTCTGCCTCCTGGGTTCAAGTGATTCTCGTGCCTCAGCCTCACAAGTAGCTGGGACTACAAGTGTGCACCACTATGCCTGACCAATTTTTGTATTTTTAGTAGAGACAGGATTTCGCTTCGTTGGCCAGGCTGGTCTCCAACTCCTAACCTCAAGTTATCCACCCGCCTTGGCCTCCCAAAGTGCTAGTATTACAGGCATGGGCCACTGTGCCCGGCCTAGTCACGGATTTTTAACATAGTGGATGTGTTTCATTTTAGCCCATCTCAATTTTTCTTGTTAATGTTCAGATTGCCCAGTATTTGACCAGGGGAGCCTATTGGAGTTATTTTCTGGGGGCCTTTAGACACAGCCCAGTACACTCTTTAGCTTCCTTGTTTTCTGATACAACAAGGCGTTTCCAGCTTATTTTGTGTACTTCGTGCCCCGTAACTGCCTCATTTCTTCAAGGCACCCGGCTGCTTACTGCTCTGGGTTGCTTCTTGTTTCCAGGCATTTTCACTGCAAAAGCAGGGATATACTTTTTTTTTTTTTGATGGAGTCTTGCTCTGTCTCCCAGGCTGGAGTACAGTGGCGCGATCTGGGCTCACTGCAAGCTCCGCCTCCCGGGTTCACACCATTCTCCTGTCTCAGCCTCCTGAGTAGCTGGGACTACAGGCGCCGGCCACCTCGCCCGGCTAGTTTTTGTGTTTTTTTTTAGTAGAGACAGGATTTCACCATGTTAGCCAGATGGTCTCGATCTCCTGACCTCGTGATCCGCCTGTCTCGGCCTCCCAAAGTGCTGGGATTATAGGCTTGATCCACCACGCCTGGCCAGGGATATACTTTTCTAAAATAAGAAAGTTTATTCTGACTTCATGATGATATTTTCAATTCTGATTTAGGATTGTAGGGTTTTGCCTGCATTCTCTGGTTTTATATGTGCATCTCTTCCATCTCATGCCAAGCAGCCTGGCTCCCAGCAACAGCGGCTGTCCCCATGCTTTATGATCCTTCATATGCACACACAGCAATTTTGGAACACCACCACCGGTTTTTAACAACAGTAGGATTACTGGAAATGCTGAAGGATTTTATTTAATTTTTATTTTTTATTTTTATTTATTTATTTATTTTTGAGATGGAATCTCGCCCTGTCATCCAGCCTGGAGTGCAGTGGTGTGATCTTGGCTCACTGCAACCTCCACCTCCAGGGTTCAAACGATTCTCCTGCTTCAGCCTCCCAAGTAACTGGGATTACAGGCGCCTACCACCACACCCAGTTTTGTTTTGTTTTTTGTATTTTTGGTGGAGACGGGGTTTCACCATGTTGGCCAGGTTGGTCTCAAACTCCTGACCTCGCCAGCCCAAGGATTTTTTTTTTTTTTTAGTAGGTGGGTCTGCCTCTTTGTTGGGTATATCCTATTAGGGATGTATAGTCAGTTCCCGTTTTAAAGTTGTGAAACAATTCTTCTCTAGTGGCACATGCTTGCCAATTGGATATCACTAAGTTTATTTCATTTTGCATTCAACCTTTAGGCATTAGTGTTTACCTTTTTAATGTAATATAATTCACATGATTTTAAGGTCAGATGTGCAAAACCAGGTATAATCAGAAATGTGGGGCTTTGACCCCTGTCTCCTCTACCCTCTACTCTCCCTGTCTCCTCTACCTTCTACTCTCCCTCTCCCTGTAGGTAACAGTAAAAAATAGGGTTTATGCTTACAGTTGAAAAACAAATAAATAAGTACATATACACGTGCATGTGTATTTACTGATATCTACACTTATTTCCATCTTGCTCTTCTTTTTAATTTGACAGTAGATGCAGGCATTCATTCTGCAGCAATGCAGAGAAACCATCCTCATTTGTCTTCACAGCCACGTGGTCCTCCACTGTGTGGACGCACCCTCATTGATTCAGCCAGCCTCGAGCTGATGCATGCTTGGATAAAACACTATTCCAAAAAACTTCATATGATATTTATCCCATGAGTAAATTCTGAAAGAAATGGAAAATTCTTACCCCAATGTAAAAGAAGTATCAGTACTTAGAAGCATTTCTTAATTGTTATTTCTGTTTGTAATAGATGGCTGTATTTTTGGATGTCAAGCTACATTCCTTCTTAATCTTTGAAAATAGAAAATCTGTTTTATTTCTAAAGCTTTTTACTTTTCAAGGAGCTGATTTCCCTGAAACACTTTGAAATTTGATAATTTCCACTACCAGCTGTCGTGTCACTCTTGTATACTATCTCCTTAACAAATAAAGATTATTTGAAACTGTTTCAGCATAAAAAGAGATAGGATAAAAACTTTGTGTTTTTCTCACCATCCCACCCATTTAGAATAGGTTTTTGGGGTAGAGAATAAACTTTTAACATAAAATCACTGATTTTTCAACAGGTGGACTTGTGAAAAAAATTTTGGAGACGAAGAAAGATTATGAGAAATTGCAGCAGTCATCCAAACCTGGGGAGAAGGTAATGGAATGATTTCCGTAAACACTGGCATTTTAGCAGTCTGTTTCATACGTTTACAAACTTACAAATTAGAACATCTTTCAAATATTACCATTATCAGTGATGTCTGTTCACATATTTAAATGCCATTCCTGGCCAGGCATGGTGGCTCACACCTGCAATCCCAGCACTTTGGGAGGCCAGCGCAGACAGATTACCTGAGCCCAGGAGTTCGAGACCAGCCTGGGCAACATGGCGAAACCCTGTCTTTACAAAAGATACAAAAATTAGCCAGGTGTGGTGGCACATGTCTGTAGTCCCAGCTACTTGGGGGGCTGAGGCAGGAGAATCGCTTGAAGCCAGGAGGTGGAGGTAGTAGTGGATCGATTGTGCCACGGCACTCCAACCTGGGTGACAGAGTGAGACCCTGCCTCAGAAAGAAAAAAAAAATGCCATTCCTCCCTCCTCCCAGTTGGGAGGATATAAAGTGTGGGACTCTCTGTGTGGGGCTGCTTCCCTGGCCTGGTATCCAGCCCCGTCTTGGGAGGGGGCAGCGGCTTGCTTGGAGAGCTCAGGAGCCAAGAGCCAAAGGCCTGTTGGGCTCTAACTCCCTGACCCTCCCCTTCTGGCCTGGCCCATCCCTTCTCCCAGGTCCCGTCTGCAGACTGGGAGGCTGGCTGCCTGGCCCTGGCTGATTACAAAGAGACTGGGAATGTTTTTAAGTCTTTTTTTGAAATATGCGTTCTATTTTACCTGGCTCCCTGCAGTCCCCCTCACACATGTGTGATGTGCTTTTGTTGGGACCTGTGGCTTCTTGCCAGCCACTACCCTTTCCTTGGGCACATGACCACTGGGGCGGGCACCTGTGGGCCAGCAGGGTGTGTCTCAAATGCCACAGCCAGGTTTCTCTTATAGTCACTTTAAAGAGGAAGAAGAATTTTTTTTTTCTTTTAAACAGAAGTTTCTTGGATAGTTAGCCTAATAACTCAACAATTTAAAAAAGTTTTATATATAGGTGTGTGTGCACACACATGTACACACACATGCACACATATACGTATCTTTCCCCAGCTGAATTAATGGTTGTTTTAGTTAATTCTGCTTAACATGTCCTAGTTTGTCATGAAGCTAGGCCTGAAGTAGCCAATGAGAACTGTATAATTGAGACTAACAGTAGAGGGAGCCCTTTTAACAATAATAACTGGAGAATGTAGATAGAGGCTTTGCTGACAGCACCACTATTTGCCTTGCTGAAAGGAGAAATGCCTTCTGCAGTTTGTTTTCTCATCGATGGAACGTTAATACATTATAGTTCTTTCTGTATGCATGAGGGGTTGTCCTGGTATCACTGGTGGTATTTCTGAGACCCAGTCGAAAACCCTGAATGTGTCCCTCCAGGCTCCTAGTGGAGGTCACCTTTGAAGCATCCATTGGTTTAAATTTTGTAGCTATGATTTTTACACAAGCTGCGTATTAGGATTGTGTTTCAAAGTATCCCCCGGAGAGTAAATTATTTCAGATTGGTAAATCTTTTGGATTCAGAAGATAAAAGGAAAAGTGTCCTTTTTTGGTGAACATCTACTGTTTTGAAAAAAAGTAGGTAATGAGAACTTCAAAGTCAGGGGTGATGTATGTTACAGTTAGGGGAAAATCAGCAAGTGTCTGTATGATTTTCTTTAGGATATTGATAAACATCAGACTTAAATTTAACTTGTTGGTCTTCTTAAAACATTTTTGTTACTTTTTTTTTTTTTTGAGATGGAATTTCGTCTGTCGCCCAGGCTGGAGTGCAGTGGCTCAATCTCGGCTCGCTGCAAGCTCTGCCTCCCAGGTTCACACCATTCTCCTGCTACATTTTTTTTTTTTTTTTTAAATAAACAAAAATGTGGTCAGGCGCGGTGGCTTACACCTGTAATCCCAGCACTTTAGGAAGCCAAGGTGGGTGGATTGCTTGAGGCCATGGGTTTGAGATCAGCCTGGCCAACATGGCCAATCCCCTTTCTACTAAGAATACAAAAATTAGCTGGGTATGGTGGTGCGCACTTGCAGTCCCAGCTACTCAGGAGGCTAAAGCACGAGAATCACCAGAGCCCAGGAAGCAGAGGTTGCAGTGAGCTGTGATTGCACTGCTGCACTCCAGCCTGGATAACAGAGCAAGACTGTCTCAAAAAAAATCATGTAGGAAGAGCCAAAGTCCTTTTTCCCCCTGCTCCAGTCCCTTCCCTGAGGGCAGTCCCCAGGATGAACTTGGTGTGTATCTCTATTTTGCATGTGCCTCGTGTTGTTTACTGAGTTTCTAATGTCACCTTAGTGTTGATCCATTATGCAGGTCGCTTTCTTCATGCAGCATTTTTCTCTCTCTCATGTTTTGATACTTGTAGATGTAGTTTATTCATTTTAATTGAAGCCTTATAGTCTATTATTTGCTTATTAATTACTCTATTGATGGACATTTAGGTTTTTCAGCCATTTCCTTTCATAAACAATGCTTCCATGGCTCTTTCCATGCCTCCTAGCTTTCAAGAGCCAGTGTCTCTTCCAGCAAGAATCAGGTCACTTTCTGTGAAGGGCTGGATAAAAATACTTCAGGCTTTTTGAGCCAGATGGTCTCTTGCAACTATTGAATTCTGCCAGTGTCACAGGAATGCAGCCACAGCATTAGACCATGTAAATGAACATGTGTGGCTGTATTCAATAAAATGTACTTTACAAAAACAAGGTCCAGGCTGTGGGCTATAGTTTACTGATTTCAGCTTTGGGGGCTATGCCCAGGCTTAGAAGTGCTATGCCAGGAAGTACACAGATCTTTAGTTTCACCAGATAGGCCACTTTCCTCCTCAAAGCGGCTGTACCAATTTATCCTCCCAGTAGAATGAATGTCTGTTTCCAAACATCCGTGCCAACGACAGTCAAGATAGTGAACAGACTCATCACCCTCCACAGTGTCATGTGCCCTTGGTGAGCCCATCCTCCAGCCCATCTCCGTGTTCGCCTTTCCCCACACCCCACCCCCAGCAGCCACTCTGCTCTGGTTCACTGTGCTTTAGTTTGCATTTCCTAGAATTGTGTTTAAATGGAATCATGTGATGTGCACTCTTTTGAGGTTTTTTTTTTGGTCTGGCCATTTTTACTCAGCATAATTATTCTGAGATTTATCCGTGTTGTTGCAGCATGTATCCCTAGTTTATTTGTTTTTATTGCTGAGTAGTATTCCATTGTATGGATATACCACAGTGTGTTCATCCATGTATCAGTTGATGAACATTTGAGTTGCTTCTAGTTTGGACTATTATAAATAAAGCTGCTGTGAACATTCATGTTCACGTCTTTGTGTTGACAGATGCTTTCATTATGTTGTGTCAATACAGTAGAACCCCTCTTATTTGCAGGGGATATGTTCCATGACCCCTAGCAGATGCCTGAGACTGTGGATAGTACCGAACCCTGTATATACCATGTTTTTTCATGATACGTTCTGATGATAAAGTTTACTTTATGAATTAGGTTCAGTAAGAGATGGACAATAACTGATATTAAACAGAACAATTTTAACAGTATGTCAGCATCACTCCATTGTACTTTGGGGCCATTCTTAAATAAAATAAGGGTTACTTTCACACAAGCACTGGGATACTGCCAGCGTCTAGACTGTCTGATAACTGAGAAGGCTACTAAGTGACTAACAGGTGGATGGTGTATACAGTGTGTATATATATTGGACAGAGGGATGACTTATGTCCTCGGCGGAACTGTGCAAGATTTGATCACACTACTCAGAATGGCATGCAATTGAAAACTTATGAATGAATTGTTTATTTCTGGAATTTTCCATTTAATATTTTCAGACTGCAGGTAACTGAAACTGCAGAAAGTGAAACTATGGATGGGGATAGGACTGTCATACCTAGGAGTGGTACTGCTGAGGCATATGGTAAATGTGTGCTTAACTTTTTAAGAAACTGCCAGACTATAGGGCTGGGTGCTGTGGCTAACACCTGTAATCCCAGCCCTCTGAGAGGCCAGAGTGTGAGGATCACTTGAAGCCAGGATTTTAAGACCAGCTTGTGCAACATAGGGAGACCGTATCTCTACAAAAAAACAAAAACAAAGATTGCCTAACTGTGTTGCAAAGTGGTTGTATCATTTCGCATTCCTACCTGCAGTGTGTAAGAGTTTCAGTTCCTTCCCATCCTCGTCAGCACTAGGTATGGTCAAACTGTAAAATTTTTCAGCTGGGAACGGTGGCTCACACCTGTAATCCCAGCGCTTTGGGAGGCTGAGTTGGGCAGATCACGAGGTCAGGAGATTGACCCCATCCTGGCTAGCATGGTGAAACTTTGTCTCTACTAAAAATACAAAAAATTAGCTGGGCATGGTGGCACACGGCTGTCGTCCCAGATACTCAGGTGACTGAGGCAGGAGAATTGCTTGAACCTGGGAGGCAGAGGTTACAGTGAGTTAAGATCGCATCACTGCACTCCAGCCTGGGCGACAGGGTGAGATTCTGTCTCAAACAAAAATTTTTTTTCATAGTTGTAATTTGCATTTCCTTAATGGCTAATGATGTTGAATATCTATCCTATGGTTGTTCACTCTTTTCTTATATAATATATAAGCCCTTGTGTCTCATATGTTGTAAATATTTTTCCAGTCTATCACTTGTCTGACTTTGCCTTTTTATTTAAAAAACTTTTTTTTTTTGAGACAGAGTCTGGCTCTGTTGCCCAGGCTGGAGTGCAGTGGTCCGAATCTCAGCTCACTGCAACCTCTGCCTCCCAGACTCAAGTGATCCTCCCACCTCACTCTCCCGAGTAGCTGGGACTACAGGCATATGCTACCACACCTGGCTAATTTTTGTATTTTTTGTAGGGGGGTTTTGCCATGTTACCCAGGCTGGTCTTGATCTCCCAGGCTCAAGCGATCCTTCTGCCTTGGCCTCCCAAAGTGAGCCACTGCACCTGGCCAAACGTTTCTATTTTGATGTAAAATTTAAACAGCCTTTTCTTTATATGTTATTTATT